AGTTATTAGTTAATAGAGAAATTGACGAAAGTATTTGATTGGTAGTTATTAGTTAATAGAGAAATTGACTGAAGTATTTAATTAGTGGTTTTAAAAAAATTAGTATACTTAAATAAAAAAATAAAATTTTATTATTTAATATAAAAATTAATTAAAATAAACAATTAATAATTTTAAATAAAAAAATTTATTCAAATAAAAAAATTTAAATTTATATACTCAATTAAAAAAATTAAAAATGGATGTAATTATCCCCACCAGTTAAAAGCTTTAAATTTTGTTTGGTCACTTGTACCACTAGAAATATTGGGAGCAACGATGCAGTTTTGCTCAATAATTGGTGACCATATAATAATGAAAATTATTGCTCTTGTAGTCTACACACCTTGTTGACCACAAAATTTTTTATTATTATATGTACGGCAGAAGACCGACAATAGATCCATTGCGTGTTGCATATAGAGAGCCCCACTTACCACAAACTAGTTGAAAATGGAAAACGCAAGGAAAAAAATTAAATAAAAGAAAGAAATTATATGCTGAGCAAAGCATTATAATAAAAATTAAATTATATACTGAGCAATGCATTGACAATAAAAATTAATAGGTCTCGTCAACTATAAAAGGACAGGTAGCAAGAGGTTTGTCGTGTTTATGAGATGTCAGTATGAGGATATTATTGTTGGCGTAGATAAATCATAAATAGTAACTTTAATACTAATATTTTGGTTTTCCAGATGATAAAATTGTAGTTTTTTGGTTTTTTTTTTTTTTTTTATGGCGGCTGAAGATTTTATGTTGATATTGCGGCCTGGTGACAAGTTTGTTTACATCAATCAATTCGTATTAGTTCAAGTTTTACCAAGACAGGAAAGACAAGACACAAAAAAAAAAAAAAAAAAAAGAAAGAGCACTACATTGATTGAAAAGAGTAGGCCATCCGTTACAGGATTGAATTTGTCTTTCAAAAGATTTGTGTCTTTTACGATCGTCGGTCATCCATTCTCGACCTCGTAGTTCTTCATTTATTTATTTTTGTTTTGATATTGGATTAGTTTTTTCCACCACCCCTCACTCCTCAAATGTTTACCAATATGGTCCTACCATGATTAAAAAAATAAAAATAAAGGCCATGACTTATAATTTGATATGGAATTATTTTTTCTATCATCTCTCCTTTGTAACATTACTTGAGGTTGTCAGTCGGAGCATGTAACACGATTAGATATTAAAAAGTTTCATTTGGAGTTGATGTTTGAAACTTCATTAAGCTTATGGCCCACTCATTATTTTTTCTTGAATTCATAATTTATATTTCTATTTGATTTTTTTTTTAAAGAAAACCAAACCCTAGTTAAAGAAAGAGAGATTCGAAAACAATCATAATCACATGTCACAACTCATTTTCATTGGTTAGGTAGTTAGCCACACTTCACTGCATCATCGTATGTGTATGTGTTAGTAATTAATCAAAGAAAAACTCTTGTTAAATCTGCACTCCTCACTCCCATCTTCCAAAAACACGGCAAAAGAAAAAAAAAAGAAAAAAAAAAGGAGCTGTCTTTCTATCTCCATTTTCTTCTTTCTCCGTTTTCACCGCTCTTTCATTACTTCCAAAACATCTCTACTCAAATATTCACATGGGGGTGCAATATTGAAGAAATGGAAATGTGGGTCGAATTCAAAATTGATTTTTTTTTTTTGATATTCTCAAGAAAAAGAATGTCAGAAATGAGATTTTTTTATCCAAGCGGACTTCACATAAAGAAAGAGCTTGCTCAAATCAAGAAGGCAACTAGAGTTTTGATTCTCATATTTCGAATCGTTCAAATTTATAATTGAAATCTCATATCAAAACACATATAATCAATTAAATTATATTAACTATAAAAAATATGCACCTAGAGTCATCAAATCATATTGTATCATTGAATGCGAATAATCATAGAATACAATTCTCATAGTTTGGTATATTGTATGCTGGCTAACACACAAATTAATACTGCACCTCTCTTACTAATTGGAGTATTTTCATACCGGTGAGTTTACATGCTACTTCCCTCGTAGTTATGTATCTTAATATAGTCAATCAAATCAAAAATCAAATGATCTCATGTATATTCCAAAAATCCAAAACCAACATATTCAAACACAATTCATGCTCAAAATCAAATTTGGTAATGCAATTCAATATCAAATTTCATAATCAAAGTCTAAGTTCAAATACAAACTCGAATTCAAAATTATAAATCAAATATTTACTTAAATTATATGAATAAAATCATAAGCAAAAATCTTAATCAAATAAGTATTTAAATCCATATAATTAAATCAAACCTTAAGTGAAACTCTTATTCAAAATATAATCAACTCTTTTTTAGAATCGGATTAAATCATTTCGATGTCAAAAGGAGTTTGTTTCCTTTTGAATTCCAATGGATGTGATTAAAACATATTTAAATCAATGATGCATGATGAAAATATCAAAAGAACTTGAAAACTTATTATGTTATATATTATCTACTCACGAGTGAAATCAAATAATCGAACGAAGTTAAGGTTTTTGAGATGAACTTGCCCATTTCGACGAATCTATTGATACGAAATGATCGAATAATCATTAATATCACCTATCAAAGAATAATTTAAAAGCAAATGAATTATTCTAGAAATCAAAATACAAAACAATTCACAAGAATGAAATTTATTGAAAAGACTCAAATTGGATTTTTAATTAAATTCTTACTCTTTCAACCAATTATAGACAATTAACTAATAGCTATATCCCATATTATGTTATATATTATCCACTCATAGTGAAATCAAATAATCAAACAAAGTTAAGGTTGTTGAGATAAACTTACCCATTTCGAAGAATCTAATGATATGAAATGATCGAATAATCATTAATATCACATATCAAAGAATAATTTGAAAGCAAATGAATTATTCTAGAAATCAAAATACAAAATAATTCAAAAGAATAAAATTTATTGAAAAGACTCAAATTGGATTTTTAATTAAATTCTTACTCTTTCAACCAATTATAGACAATTAACCACTAGCTATATCCCGAATTCATTCTACAATCGTTTTCTAACAATCCAGATTTACACTTTGCTACAACCAATTATTCATCATCAAATTTCTATTCATTTTTTACACAACTTGTCTTTATAATCCATCACTAATTTCCAATTCAATTTTTCACACAATTTATCTCTACAATTCATCATTAATGTCCAATGCAAGTTTTCTAACAACTTACTTTACAATTCATCATTTCAATAAACTTGGGGATGTATCGAATCCATAGTCCAAGTAATCAATTTCATACTACCGTTATCTCATTTCAATCATCAATTAGCACAATTAATTGTTAAATCATCAAATTTTCAAATTCAATTCAACTCCTAACTATAGTTTAACTCAATTTTTATTCTAACAAATCCAATACAAAATAATTTCAAATTATCAATAAATACATAAAATCATCTCGGCTTTTAAGATTAAATGACAAAAATGTCACTTTTGACAAATGAATCTTCAAACTCGATTTCAATCCTACAACCCTTTATGCCTCCTAAACTTTAATCTAACTAACTTTCACTTTAATCATTTTGCTTTCATGAATTTCTAAGGTGTTTGGACAAGACTTTAACTTAGAAATGGAGAAGAGAGATGGGAGAAAATAGAGAGAGTTCTTGGGTGAGAAAGGGAGGAGAAGAAGTGAGGAAATGAGGGACAAAATGGTTGTCCTGTTTTTATTAAGAGGTTCTCTAGTGTTTTTTTATTTTTTTTATATTCTTATTCTTATTCTTTTCTTAGGATTGAGTCCTAATTTTTATTTTATAACTAAAATTTAGATTTTTAATTTAAAATAAAAATATAATTAACTTCTAATTAATTTATAAATATTTTTCTCAATACTAAAAATATATAAATTACTAATTTATTATTATTTTTAAAACGTGTTAGCAAAGTATGTATGCATCGCATAATTATAGAAAAACACATCGCCCATAGCCATTGGAACGGGCCATATTCTAGCTTTTGGATCAAGTTCTCCCCATCATAAGTCCGACTTTGGATGGGTGCTCGAGAGCATTCATATTAAATATTTGCATTGAAATTTGGCCAATTGTTACCCATTTTCAACTTAATAAACTAATAAAGTTGAGTAAGATAGCATTATAGTTTTTTTTTAATCAAAAGATTGTCTGATAGTAAATTATACAATTGAAAGTAAGCTTACTATATTATACAATAATCAAATAATTAATAAATAAATTGAAATTATTTTGGTTCGAATTTATTTTATTAAAAAGAAACTAACAAAAAAACAATTTCCGAAATTAGCAATGCTTGTTTGCTAGCTAGTCTCGTGATTAAAAGGGCTTCTTTTTAAACCACTGTAATATAAATTTCATACGTTTATGAAATAAAATGTCATGAGTTACTTAATCTCCACGTGGATAGCGTATCTCTTCGATCAAACTACACTCAATCAAAATAAAAATGGTAGAGAAATAAACCCAGTCAATATGCTATAATTCCAAAATCCAAGGAGGACCACCACCTAGCAAGTTGCAGCATGTGCACAGTACTGGCATGATCCCTCTTTTTTGTTTGTTTGTTTTCTTTTTAATTACTAGTACATTGATCATTGATGCATTGATTTTTTTTTTGAAAACTATATGAATTTTCATGCACGCAATTGTGAGATCAGCTGGCCATACCTCTCCTCAACCACTCATTTAATTTATATACTGCCTGCAATTGTCGTCAAATAATTCAATCACACTACAAAATTTATTTATTTTACCTCTAGAGAAGTACTTTTTTATATATATATATAATTATTGTTATGTTTTTTTTCTTTTACGAAAGAAGTAAATTAATTAATTCGTATGTCTTCACTTAGTTGCTTCTTCATTCTGGTTTATAAATAAAGACCTTTGTACTTATTGTCATCTTGGGATATAGCACCACCAAAAATTATGGAGGGCCATCTAAAAATGTCCACCACCAATGGTGCCCCTCCTCCTCTTCACACCGTTAAGCCCTTGCGCAGAACAATCTTCAACCGTGTGTTTGCTACAATTTATGCTCTTGCCATTTTAACTCTGCTCTGTTACCATGCTAAAACGCTCATCTACTCCACAACCCTACTCTCTTTCCTTATAATCCTTTCCCTTTTAATCTCCGACCTTGTTCTTGCGTTCATGTGGGTGAACACACAGACTTTTCGCATGTATCCGGTCTATCGTAAGGAATTCCCTGAAAACGTCGAAAAAGTCGTGAAAAGAAGTGATTTTCCAGCTTTGGATGTGTTTATATGCACTGCGGATCCATATAAGGAGCCGCCAATTGGTGTAGTGAATACGGCTTTATCTGTAATGGCTTATGACTATCCAACAGAGAAGATTTCAGTCTATGTGTCTGATGATGGAGGCTCGGCTTTGACTCTCTTTGCTTTCATGGAGGCTGCTAAGTTTGCTACCCACTGGTTACCATTTTGTAAGAAGAACAACATACTAGAGAGGAGCCCTGAAGCATATTTCGAATCAAATCATAATTGCACCTCCGAGACTGAGAAGATTAAGGTAAGATACTGTAACATAGATGCTCTCTAAATATATTTTAGATTTTTCTCTCTTCCTGTTTTTAACTCAAGTTTAAAAGCTTTTTTTTTTTTTTTTTTCTCTCCTGACCCTGATTGCAGTATTATTTTGCCAAGTATTATTTAAATCCATAAAGATTTAAACTTATACTTTGGTAGTCTTTTTTTTTCTTGAGATATTGGAGTAATTCTGGAATTAAGCAGGAATTCGTATATATATATATATATACACATTTCTTCTTTAGTTTAAAGGAAAGACACTTCAAAGTTGGTTAAATTTTTTGGATGGAAAGGATAAATAAAATAAAAAAGAAAAAGAAGATCGCAATAGAATATTCATCTGACTAGCTAGTAGCCAGCCTCAACTAAAGAAATGATAAGGGTAATACATAGATCAATAATCATAAGATCTATACATTCTCTATTGAATTTGATAGATTTCATTAATAAATTAGTTCATGCGGTAAATTACAAAATTTCCATTGAAAAAAAAAGAAGAAGCTTTCAATTGCTAGATGTATACCATTCAATAAGCGATATCGGTCTTTTAATTGTTGGCAAAAACACATTTTAAAATTGAATGCTTCTGTTAGATTGATTATCCCATTAATACAAGTAGTAGTCATCAATGATCTATGGTTTCTTTATGTGACAGATGATGTATGAAAGCATGAAAGTCAAGATAGAGCATGCTCTTGAGAGGGGAAAAGTTCATGATCAGTACATCACTGGGGACCAAGAATGGGAAATTTTCAATAAATGGACTGATGATTTCACCCGACAAGACCATCCTGCTGTGATTCAGGTATGCATTTCCTTCTAACAATTTAATATGATCTAACTAGTTAGATTTGGGTCGGGTGGGATCGGTTCATATCTGTCATCGATCATACAACTTACGTTTTTTTTTTTAAAAAAAAATCCTATGGTCATGGTTTATAAGAGTTAGAAATTGAAGAACCTACTTATTAAAAAAAAAAAAATTAAACGAACTATTTAAAAGTTATTCATATAAAATCATTTGTATTATTTATTCAAATTTATACGTATTATTTTTTACTATGTAATGATATTTTTATAGTTTTTAAATATTTTAAAAATATTTATTATGAAATTTTTTGTAACATTACATTGTGATTTTTTTAAAATATTATTTTTTTAATTTATAAATATTTTTTATTTGATTTTAGTTTCACTTTTTAGTTTCATTTTTATCACTTTGATCTTTGCTTCGTTTTTTTTTTCTGATTTTTTAATTAAAAATTTTAAAGTAAAAATATATTTAGAAAAAATAATTTATAAAATAAGATTTTAGTTAAAAATGTAAATAGAGATAAATAAATAATTTTTTCAATAAAAAAATTAGGAAAAATATAAAAATAATTAGTCAAATACAAAATTTTGATTTAAAAAAATAATTAAATTGAATAATTTTTTATTTAATTTTAATTTAATATATTTTAATAGATACATAATATAAGATATATAAAATATCAAAATGAAATAATTTTTTTAAATTTCAGTATGGTAAATAAAAAAGCTAATTTTACCTGCAGGTGTTGTTAGATGCTAGTAAGGATAAAGACATCGCTGGTTCCTTGATGCCAAACCTCATTTACGTCTCCAGAGAAAAAAGCAAGGCTACACCTCACCACTTTAAAGCTGGTGCCCTCAATGCATTGGTTCGTAAGTCGGGTTACTATTTGAAATTGGTCATGTCATGTCATGTCAAGCCTAATCATAAAAATTCTTCTTATTTTGTGTTGTAGATACGAGTGTCAGGTATCATGACCAATGCACCGGTAATCTTAACTCTAGATTGCGACTTCCGCTCCAATGATCCTCAAACACCTCTACGGGCAATGTGTTATCTGTGTGATCCAGCGATTCGACCCGACTTCGCATTTGTTCAGTTTCCTCAACTGTTTCGCGGAATCAACAAAAATGATATCTACAACACGGAATATAAACGTTTGTTCCAAATTAATATTTTGGGATTTGATGGATTAAACGGCCCTGATTATCTTGGAACTGTATGTTTTTTTCGACGACGAACCTTTTATGGAACTCCATCCAACCTAATAGTACCAGAGATTCTTGAACTAGCTCCGGATCATGTTGTAGACAAACCTATCCAATCTCAATCAATTTTGGCGCTGGCACATCGGGTAGCAAGTTGCAATTATGAAAACCAAACCAACTGGGGCTCTAAGGTAAGTCCTCCATTAATGTTCTCTTCTTTAAAGAATTCTTCTTTGAGGCTATTTCAAAATTATACAAGCTTGATTCGTGTTAATCACAATTTTTTCATGTGTCATCTTTTCCAATGTTATGTTTGAGGCTGAACGTATAAGTGCTGGTTTTAAAATGTGCAGCTCGGATTTAGATATGGATCGTTGGTCGAGGATTACTACACAGGTTTTAGGTTGCACTGCGAAGGGTGGAAGTCCGCATTTTGTAATCCTGAGAGGCCTGCATTTTTGGGTGAAGTTCCCAACAACTTGATTGATGCACTGGGTCAGCAAAAGAGATGGTCAGTTGGACTTCTTGAGGTGGCATTCTGTAAATATAGCCCAGCAACCTATGGTGTTAGAGCAATGGGTCCTCTGATGGGTCTAGGTTACGCACAGTTAGCATTTTGGCCTATTTGGTCGATTCCAATCATCACATACGCTTTCGTTCCCCAGCTAGCTCTTCTCAACAAAGTTCATGTTTTCCCAAAGGTATGCCATTTTTTTTTTTTTTGTTTTCAAACAAAAACAGGGTAAACTATATTCCATTCCCTGCAGATTCCACAATATCCTACTTCAGCATCAATGGTTTGATATTTTCCATATTAACCTTAAAGTTCCCAAAAAATTCCAAAGCGATTCTATGTCGTTTTGAAAAGCTAATAAAAATTGAATGCAAACCCTTGATTGTATTTTTATATTTTTAAGAATTTTTTTGTGGAAATTAAGTAAAAGTGGAAGAGAAAGTTGGGAAAGTGAGTATTCCAAAAGTTGTTTAGCTATTCGAGGGCGAGGGAGGGATCACATTGAAGTTTTGGAAAAACTGTAAAATTTTGCAATTTTAATCTGTAAGGCCGAAATGAAAATTATTTAATGTTCAGGGGCTAATTTATAGTTTGTACAAAATTAAATTACAATGGAACCTTTCTTTCCAGAAAAAAATGGTATCCTTTAGAGCTGCTCCGCTGGAGATGATCATCAATTCAGTAGAATCAGTACTGACATTGATGGTCTGAAAGCTTCTTTGTGAATTTATATAGATATTGAACTGTTAATGATTCTAGTTAATTATATTAAACTTATAATCTTCTAATTTTGCCAATTATACGAATTTCTATTGTGAACATAATTACAAGAGTTGATTTTCTGATATCGAAATGTGTTGTTTATTGGGATTGAATATTAATTTTCAAGTTCGTTAAAAGAATTGAGGAAAAAATTGTGTTGTAGGTCTCAGAGCCATGGTTTTTCTTGTATGCATTTCTTTTCTTGGGGGCCTATGGACAAGATTGTCTTGACTTCATCCTAGCCGACGGTTCCATACAGAGATGGTGGAGTGATCAGCGATTTTGGATCATAAAGGGACTAACAAGTTACTTCTTTGGTTCCATAGAGTTCTTCTTCAAGTTCTTGGGAATTTCAGCATTTGGCTTTACACTGACAAGCAAAACAGTTGATGATGAGCAAAGTAAAAGATATGAACAAGGAATCTTTGAGTTTGGGGTACATTCACCCATGTTTGTGACCCTAACAATGGCAGCCATAATTAATTTAATCTCATTTGTCCAAGGGCTTGTTGAAGTTTTCAAAGGAAACAATTTGGAGGGATCATTTGTGCAGATTTTCATATCAGGTTTTGCTGTGGTGAATGCTTGGCCTATTTACGAAGCCATAGCTTTGAGAAATGACAGTGGGAAAATGCCTACCAGGACCACTATTATGGCAACACTTCTAGCAGGTGCATTATATACAACATCATCTTTTATTTTCGGGTGAGTATATGACGAGGGCATTTGATTTGTACTTGAATACATGTATGTAATTTGAAGCCCATAAAATAGATTTTATTTTGAATAAATTCTATCTGTTTGATTCATGTTGCAAAGGAAGTGGTAGTTTTAAGCCTTTTGCAAATCCACTCCAACTTTCCTCCTTTAGATATCTTATTTTCTTCGTGACGTCATAATCAGAGAAAGGAAGGTTCAATTTTTGTGCCTTCCATTTGCTTTTTCCCTCATATGGTACAACGTAATTTTTTCAGTGATTAGTCGTGCTATTCATATTAAGATTACTAGTTGAATGAATTTTAATCTAGATTGATCGTGTGATCGCTATAATTTGTTGTGTGTTGAATTGATAAAGTACTTGTGTGTTTGGAGGACTCTTCGATAGTCAAATTAGCATATAAAGAGAGATGTATTGTCCGAGTAGGTTTTTAGAAAATTAACTCTTATATAAGATCATTTATCTAAATTGATTGTGCGAGGTCTTGTTTACTTGTGATGTCCTTTATCAGCTAGTTGGGATTATCCTACTCGGGATAAATTCTTACTTGAACAATCTTTAAATGGAGTATAAAGACAAGTGTCATGATCATGATTATGTGAATATATCGACAGACCCTTTTGAGTATTTGACAAATGTATTTGGCAAAAACTCAATTTAAGTTCGAGTTTCTTGAAGAGATATTCGTTGACGTTTGGGTTAGCTAGTAGTTTCTTACTTTATTTTTTTTTTCAAACTTGACCTAGGTAGGTGTATGAGAGACTCATTAAATGCATGTAGCTTCACTAAACATACAAACATCTAAAGAAACCAAACACTTGTGCATAAGAGTGCTTAGGCAACTAAGCCTTTTAGAGTTTTCTTCATTCATCAAATGACGTCCACTTTAATTGCTTTACGAGATTGATGGCAATATGTGACTGGTCCACGTTAGATTAGACTCATCTAATAGGCCTAGGCTTTCAAGTATTTGATTTGATGGTTTCACATTTTTTTTTATCTATAAATTGACGACACCGACTTCGTATCTTCTCACTTTTTACTAGTCTTTGTTTTCGCTATGGTGAGCTTTTAGAGAGTTGGCAAGGATTTTTAGTGAGTTGGTCACTCGTTTGGAACTCAAGGAGAGATTATTGTTATAAAGATCTTTTTTGGTAGGTTCTAAATTATACAAAATCTTGACGACCTTGACGTTTTTTAAGATAGTCCGATCTACAGTGGAGTGATTCCTTTTCTTGGTGAGTTGTTGAAGTTTTGAAAGATACATATTTTTTACTTTTACATCTTTGTGTTTGATTGAGAATAGTGGATTTAGAAAGGATGAAAGATGTGTTTAGAACTATTTTAGTGGCGAAGGAGCAAGACCTAATGTAGGTCGGCATCTTCCTCTATAGAGAGAGGTTCCTGTAGAATTTTTGGGAGAAGGATAACCGTTTTTTCTTCCACATGTTGGCATTATTGACCCTTGCTACGAGAGCTTCGGTTACTATAGGTTCCGGTAGGCTATTGACCCATAACACTTCCTTGTGGAAGCAAGAAAGGTAGGCTTAGGTGGTTTTTCTTTTCTTTTCTTTTTTTTTTTTTTAACGAAATTGAAAATAATTTAATATTTTTTTTTTCAAAACTAAGGATTGATTTAGGATGCAAATTGTTATACCACTTCCTCACCATCGCTCGAAAAGGTGATGGGAAGCATCTTACAAATGAAGTCCAAGCTTCCTATGACTAGTTTGAGGTTTTTCTAGATGTTTTGTACATGTTCTTGAGAGTTCATCGTGTTTTCATACACATCTAGGTTAATTTTTTCGATAAAGAATTCTTTTAGTAGATTGACATTCAAGATGCGAGAAAACAATAATACAAGAAAGTAGACAATTCATTCATCACTAATTAGCAAAAATTCATCACTAAATCGAGCATAGCGACGGTAATAATGGTCATTGTGAAAACGCTAGTTGCTAAACTTAGCAAAGAAAAAATTTCTATTATAGCGATGAAAATTCCATTGTTACAATTAAAACTTTCGTCGCTATAGTGGTCATTGTAAACCATCGTAGTATGCATCGTTATTCCGTCGTTGATTAACGACTCGTCATGCCATTGCCAATATCTAAAGCTAATTATCATCATCACTAAATCGTCGCTATTTCATTAATGAAGGTTGACCAAATCCGTTGCAAAGCCATCATTGGTAGCATGAAAATTTGTCTACAATCCATCCCTATTCCGTCACTAATTATATATTCTTACATTTTTTACATTTTATTTATTTATTTTTAAATTAATAATATTCTAGGTAGAAAAAAATTCGAGTGGTACATAATTAACAATTAGAAGAAATAACTCATAATTTAAATATTATGAAGTAAATATAAATTAATATTAACAAAAAAATAGTAGTACATATGGAAAAAAAAAAGTAAAAAAATGAATTGTCACTCCCAAGTATCATCATGATCGTCTAATCCCCTATCCTCCTTCCGGGACTAAGTGGGGGGGGGCTCGATGTGAGGTCGGGCGGAAGGCTGGGTGAGAGGCTCGATAAGAGGCTGGGCGAGAGACTTGATGGGAGGTTGGGTGGGAGGAACGTTAGAGTCTTGGTTGGTAGGTGAATTTAAAGGCAATCCGAATGTCTATGCCGACTGATCAACATGGAGCCATATTCTTATGCCGAGAATTAAGCCTATGTTTTGTACTCGTTGCTCCATCACAAGGTTTTGAAGCTCATGTTATCCGATCCGAATCTCTTTCATTGCTTCTTTCATCTTCCCATACTTCCTCCGAATCTCCTCATTAGTAATGTTATCGGTGTAATGCAACGACGTAAAGGAGGAGGAGTCGTTGCCACTAGACTAGGACGGATAATGCATCGTCTATGTGCCTATGCTTGTATATCCTCTTCTTTCTCTCCCTTAAAGCCTAGAGGTATATGACATTCTTGTCAACCTTTGGCTCCGGGATGCCTTCCACTCGCTACATCACAATAGCCTCATGTATTGGCTCTTCGACATACTCCTGCATAATCAAAATAATGATATCATTATAAAAAAAAATATGTAATTTACCAAGTGACGAACGTGCTCTTCCCAAGATATGGAGCCCTCGGTATGCCTAGAAGGACCCATACCAAGTTTATCGATCTCTAACAACTGGTTTCACGATGCTTGCTATGAACGAGTCATGCGAGTAGGTTTTGTAAAACCTTGTCTCTATGCATTCCGGACCTCTTGTCCAAAAAAGGTGGTTGTTCGACCAACAAACTACACTTGTAGATGAAGTTGCCATAGAGCTTTACGGCTATAGCCTCCTATGCTTCTTTAACAAGCACTTTGATTGTCGAATCCTAATCAAATTATTTCTACATGAATAAAATAATTAATATTAACAACTTAATTTAATGAAAAATTTTAAATTTAATAATAAAGAAAATTAATAATATTTTACCTTGAATTCACTAAAGTAGAATTTTTTAGTGAGGTTTGACATAGACTTCCTTGTCGATCTAACGACATCCAAGCACTCTTTGAAAGTCATGGTTATCTTTGCGATATAATCTTTACTAGGCGGAGTTAACCTATCGAACATCAAAAGAAAAAAAATTTTAAAAAAAACACCTAATGATATATAAAAATAAAAAAATTATTACATCGAATTTAATTAATTACATATCGTTCTCAAGTGACGAAATACATTGCCAACTAGAGGAGCTTTGAGAACAATCTAGAATGATAGATACATCAATGGATGGGACACTCTCGAGGTCGGTGATGAAACCTCTAGATACCGATGTAGGAACTTTTAGTATAGATGTGGAAACCTCCGGTGCCGATGCGAGTACCGTGCTGGAGGGGACATCTTGTATCGACGTAGTCGCACATCGTGAGAGCTGTATGACCCATTAAAAGCCACGTAGTCGGAGATCCTTGATCGATGCCGGTAGGTGATCCTAATGGGCTATCATCGGTAGGTGATGCTTGTGCACGACAAGCTGAAACATGATCTTGTAGTGAGTGTGGGGGTCGGCTAAAACCATAAATCATTACTGAAATATATAAGCTTAAACAAATAAATAAAATATAAAAAATATATTATCAATATGAAGTAATAAAAAAATCCAAAATTTGACATTTCCTATTATCCGATAAATAACCTATTTTAAATACAATATAATCAAAATACACAATCAATATTTTGAAGATGTATCAAAATCGATATTATTCATCGCATGTAACAAATAAACAAATAAAAAAAATACATCATTTGTTAATAATACAATGAATAAAACATATATTCAATTCGTAAACACTATTTAAGTTATCATCTCCATTATTGGACGTATTTTCACACTCATTCTTATCATCTTTATCAACCACAACTACTTCTATAGCTACGAATGATCCATTTTGATCATTCAATAAAATAACATCCTCGACTTTTTCTATTAATTCATGTCAAATTTTTGGATCATCTTGTTGAAATGGTTTACCATTTTGTTGAACTGCATGGTGATGAATCAAGCAACTCAAATACGGACCTAGTTTTGATCTTACAAATAGCCCATCAATCTAGATTCTCACATCCGAAGCTAGGGTACTCAACATAATATGCACGAGCTAACTGTGATCTTAGGACAAATTTTTCATAATTATTCAAGGTTCTCTTACAATTAACATCCATAACTTTGTACTGCATTTGAATCCTTATTCTTTGTGGTGTAGGATCGAACCAATCACATTTAAATAATAGTATTCTTTTGATTGGTAGTGTAGGATACTCTACTTTAAGAATTTACATCGGTATCCGGTAATAGTCACTCTCGAGTCGTACTTGTAATTGGTTTTTTTTAATACAAACACCACTATTGAAAGACTCTATTTTCAAAGATTTCTTAAGTGTGTGAAACCTATAACCATTAACAAAACAACCCATGTATGATCCGACAATAAGCAATAGGCTTTATGCAAAATCTTTCTAGAACTGGTCTTGCATGG